CCGGCGTCTTGCTACGATTCCGTGAAAAGGGTGTGGCCTTAGTAGCGGATATCCAAGAAATGTATCACCAGGTGAAAATCATCAAGCAGGACAGATCGGCCCAAAGCTTCCTCTGGCGAGACCTAAACGACGGACAAGAACCAGATGTCTACGAAATGCAAGTCGCCATATTTGGGGCCAAATCGTCGCCAGCGTCCGCTAACTTCGTGCTGCGCAAAACAATCACCGATCACGCTGCAGAAGTCGAACTGGATCAAGAAACTACATCCGCGCTTCACAACAGTTTCTATATGGACGACTTCCTCCATTCAGAACAAACCGTGTCAGCTGCTCGCGCAGTGAGAAAGGGTGTCACTGATCTGCTATCAAAGGGTGGCTTCCGGCTCGTGAAATGGATGAGCAATTCGCGCGAGGTGCTGGGCAGTATCCCACCTGAGGAGCAGGCTCACCCCGAGCTCGACTTTTACGGCACTCATCTCCCTGCCGAAGGAGCCCTGGGTGTTGTATGGGACGCTGAACGAGACTCGCTGAGTTTCCGGTTTCGAGACAGTGAGACGCAGGCGACCAGACGAGGAGCGCTCAGGAGAACTGCGGCTATCTTCGACCCCATGAGGATCGCCGTTCCGTATCAGATCACAGTGAAGGCTCTGAAGGAGAAACTCTGGATGCTACGACACATCCGGAGCCGATGGAAGAAAGAAGAAATCCCAGAACCTGGCACACCGAAAGGACTCTGGCCCTTGGCTCGGGTAACAGAGCTCCTGCCAGGACCGGACGGACGAGTGCGCGCTGTACGACTCGTCACTGCGAATGGAGCGACCTATACACGACTGGTCACTGAAGGTCGCCGTCCTTGAAGAAGCAGACCAGCAGAAGTGAACGGGTTCGTCGCTATAACCATTATTCCTACATCCTGTCAGCTGTAGTTCGACCGTGCTCCTACTGACCCACTGAGCCTGGCCTTTAGACCATTTCTGAAACTTCTCTCACCCTCCGTCCCGTGGAGCAGACACCAAACTCGCCGAGATTTATGTCTTTTCCTGTGTTCCCCTCTAGCCCGGCTCGCCACATGGACCGCTTTCCCCTCCCCCGTCCGCGCAGCCGGCCATTAGGCGCGCGTGACATCTGGAGGTGGGGGAGCTCAGCTGAGTGGCGCGTGCCGCGCTGCCGGTTGACACTGACCTTGAGTACCGAGGGAAACTGAGGCGACGAAGGACCCTGCTGACCTACTGAGAGCAGCGTCCGATCAGCTGACTGCTGGAAGGACAACACATCAGCTGCTCTGGTGAACAACAACCGAAACCGGCAACAGCCGTGTGAACAATCGCGTTGTGTTTCTGGTGTAGCCGAACACTGCGCACCGGAGACTGGCGTCAGAAGTGACGAAGTGACGCGACCAGTGGACTAATGTGCAGCTGACCAGGGACGAGGTCTAGTACAGTGAACAATCGTGAAGGTGCCGAAAGCGTTTACCTTCGTTATGTTTTAGTACTAATTGATATAGGTAGTGTACCATGAATCTGTATAGGTGCTTGTGTAGTTTTAGGAAGAACTCGCGAGAACCTGCGTAGCGAAGTTGTGAATCTCGTGAATGTACAGAATGTTCCGTCGGTGTTCAGTGATTGTGTGATCTCCCGTCTTAAGTCGATCACAGGGGAGGAGTGTGTCACCGACGAAATGAACTGCCCTGTTGTTCTTCTCTTTCGTTTTTACATTTGACAGCCAAGCGTGATCTATCGCAGTACTGGTCGTGCCCCGTGAGCCTGGACCAGCTCTTGTGTTAGTTTCTCGTCTCATGTTCTAATTGCCTACAATATGTCACTCGCGCTATCGCTTCACACTTGACGGCTGAGCGTGCTCGCCGCGCACCGTATCCTTTTACCGAACGTGCTGCGTGAGCCTTTTCGGACCTTTCTCACCAGTTTCCAGTGTCGCTTTCTGAGTGTTTTTAGATGTACAACCTAATTGTTCTCTTTGTGCCCGCGGCGGCTCCTCGAGTCGCTGCGGGCAGTCTCCACTTGAACGCCACCGAGTACAGTCCTCGGTGGCGGTGCGCGGCTCCACCGGCGCCCCGAAGTGCGCCGGTGTCAGTGAAGTGACGGAATCGTGCACCGTGCACGATTCCGACGGCACCCCCAGCGGGCTGCCAGAGTGAACGGCATCCCTAGCGGATTGCCGCAGTGAACAGGCACCCCCAGCGGGTTGCTACAGTGAACGGGCACCCCTAGTGGGCTGCCAAAGTGAACGCCACTGAGCGCGTAGCTCAGTGGCAGCGCGCGATTTCGCCGGCGCCCCGACGCGCGCCGGCGTATCGCGCTTGAATCCGACGGCGCCCCCGTCCGCGGCGGCGCCGGAGTTGTCCGCCTCGGCGGACAACAGTGACCATCGACAGTGCTAGTGTGTTTCCTGGTCTACCTGTCTACTCTGCGTTCTTCAATTTCACCCTCGTCTACCGTTCATCATCATCTATCGTCCGGAATTCTTCAATACATTCATCAAAATTCATCTACGTTTTTCCTCCGCTACAATAAATGTCCCGGCCTCCACCAGAGGCACGACAAGGTCGGCGACAACATTGAATATAAGTTATTGAAGCTGGACCACTTGTCTGTGATCTCGCACTTTACCTATCAGATATAATGACATTTCATGTCGATGTGCCTAAATAAATATGCGAATATACGTGGAAAAGGAGTGCTGATCCCGCTCCTACACATCTGGGCCAAACAGTGACCGGCCCTGCTTCTAGCCAGCCGGGGCCGGTCGGCCGGCCGGTAGTCAGTCGCTGCCCGGGGCTGATTTCTGAGGGACTTGCAACCATGCTTATTAGTGGAATATTTAACGTAATAACTAGGTTGATTAGGTGAATTTACCGTCTCTGAGTCGCATTTGAATGAAACATGCCAGTGTAAAAAAATTAAAAAAACATTGTAGATGTTTTAGAAATTCAGCTGGTACCGAAATGCATAACGGTTTTACCATGCATTGACAAAAGCCCAGGCTTCAAGCCAACCAAAATATAACCCCGTTGGCCGTATTTTTTTTGGGGGGGGGGCATCGGCATGGGGGGGGGGGCACTTCGCAGGCCGTGCCCCACTGTCCCTCCCGGCTCCCATTCAAAAATCCTGTGTGCGCGCCTGGTTATGAGCGTGTGTAAACACAAAATTTTGATTGCCGCGTTTCACTCCCGCGTGGGCCGATCCCGCTTCAGCCGGCGACATTTGAGTGATGCTTATAACCAGAAGCGGCGGAACACCTTTAATTAAGTAGGGGGGGGGGGGCACTGCCGACTTTTGGTCCATTCTTTCCATGCAACGCCCATATGTAAGGCTAATGTTAAAATGCCAAAATCAAAGGGGGGCACGGTGCCCCGGTGCCCTCCCCGTTCCGCCGCCTATGCTGCCATATTTAATGTTGGATTAACTAGAAAATCACCATATGTACATACTCACAAATGTATGTTCTTTTGTATAGTGAGAGAAAAAAAGGAAATCGGTCGGTAACTTTTTGAGTTATCGGCGTGTAAACGCAAAAAAGTCGCTCATATGGCAGATTTGACCACATTTGATCTCATTTGACCTTGAAGATTGACCTAGGGTCATGAAATTCACACACAACAGAGTTTCCCAGGGCCCCCACCTACCTTCCAAATTTCGTCTTTCTAGCTCCAGTGGGAGCTGAGATCTTAGGGGAGCGGATGTCGCCCCCCCCCCCCTTCCACTGGGCGTAGTACCTACTCGCAACCCTTCCACTGCGCGTGTTAGAACAAACTTTTTTCAAAGAAAAGTTCTTTTGTTTCCGTTTGATGTCGAAAAAAACGCAAATTTTCGCCGATATCGGCTCGAGGGAGGGGGCATTAGCCCCAAACATCCCCGCTGGATCCGACAGTGTCACCGACAGTGGTCACTGGTCAGGCAGCGAGTCAGGTCCCGGCGTACCGGCGCCGTGGCTCCGCTCCGCTGCCGCGACCGTGTCAGGTGGCGGGCCGCGGCCGGCGTATATTCGAATCCAGTATGAGTAGAGCACGGGTCCCGAAAAATTATTCAGAAACTAGAGAAATTCTCGCGGGGCAAGACGTCTGTCAAACTAGAAGCGAGCAGCGAGCAGCGAGTCCAGCAGCGAGAAACGGGCCATCCCGATTTAGCTGAAAATTAGCTCACAGAGCCTTCTCAGCACGCTGATTCCGAAAATCATGGTCTCTAGGGTGGGAATCTTTACCGTTCTCGAGATAGAACCCTCTAAAGTTCTTACCACCCATGACCGGGCCATCCCCATTTGGCTGAAAATTTGCTCACAGAGCCTTCTCAGCACGCTGATTCCGAATATCATGGTCCCTAGGGTGGGATTCTTTACCGTTCTCGAGATAGAACCCTCTAAAGCTCTTACCACCCATGACCGGGCCATCCCGATTTGACTGGGATGGCCCGGTCGATTTGACAGACCATGATTTTCGGAATCAGCGTGCTGAGAAGGCTCTGTGAGAAAATTTTCAACCAAATCAGGATGGCCCGGTCATGGGTGTCGAACTCTTTAGAGGGTTCTATCTCGAGAAGGGTAAAGATTCCCACCCTAGAGACTATGATTTTCGGAATCAGCGTGCTTAGAAGGCTCTGTGAGCAAATTTTCAGCCAAATCGGGATGGCCCGGTCTTTGGTGTCGAAAACTTAGAGGGTTCTATCCCTAGAACGGTACCTAAAGATTTCCACCCTAGAGACCATGATTTTCGGAATCAGCGTGCTGAGAAGGCTCTGTGAGCTAATTTTCAGCTAAATCGGGATGGCCCGTTTCTCGCTGGTGGACTCGCTGCTCGCTGCTCACTGCTAGTTTGACAGACGTCTTGCCCCGCGAGAATTTCTCTAGTTTCTGAAGAATTTTTCGGGACCCATGCTCTACTCATACTGGATTCGAATATACGCGGCCGCGGCGCCCAGTGTAGTTGTGAGTGCGGCCGTCAGGTGGCGGGCCGCGGCGCTGAGTGTAGTTGTGACTGCGGCCGACAGGTGGCGGGCCGTCGGCGCTCCCCGCCAAGTACCACACCGTTCTGCGACCGCCGGCTAGGAAGAGCGGCTCGCTGCGGCTGGCCCGCTCACCTATCCAGTGGAGGTCGCTGTTCCGCAGCAGGAGCAGACAGTCGCGCCCCGACAGAGACATCTCGCTAGCGGTAAGATATGGAGTAGAGTGGAAACAGGAGCATCTCGCTGGCGGTAAGATACCTATGGGGTAGAGACTAGAGTGGACAAGGGCATTTCGCTGACGGTAAGACACGGGATTTATGGCTGGTAGTGTGGCCGGTTAGTGCCTTTCTGCCACCTGTCATCTGCTCGCTGACCCGTCGTCTGATCGCTGACCCCGTCGTCTGATCGCTGACCCGTCGTCTGATCGCTGACCCGTCGTCTGATCGCAGACCGGGCGTTTGACTCGCCAGGGCCGCGCACTGACCGAGTCAGACCTCAGGGACGGCCGAGCGGACGGCGGCCGCAGCCACGGCCTGCGCTCGGCACGCTCCTACGAGTCACTGGTGCCATTGAGGGTCTGCCACCGCAGCTCACTGGTGAGGGGCCGGGACAGAGGGCACGCAGTGTTCGTGTGTGGGGGGGGGGCAGAGGGCGAGTGACTGCTCCGGCTGGTGACAGGGGGTATAGGTAAAATGCTTCCCAGTTCCCAATAAGGCTCAGTTTCACGCTCATTTGAAGGGACGGACTAGCTAGTCAAACTCAATTCGTTCAGCGATATCAGCATATCGCCCCAACAGTGCAGTGCTCGCCACGGCTGACGCGATCCGGCGGCTGACTCGTCTCCGCTGGGCGGCAGGTTCTGAGCCCGGACGGCGCGCCGGTCGTGTCGGACAGCGCCGGACGGCGGCCACTCTCCCGACTGGACTCCTACTTCGACTCCTACTCGGGCACCAGTCGCACGCTGCCGCGCAGCCGCCGCCACGAGCGGCCGCCGCTGCAACTGCCGGCCGGACCCGGCACCGAGCGCCACCGCACACAGCGAGCCGACAGCGAGCCAGAGGCCGACCGCCGGCACCCCGAAACGTCCTCCGCCTGGGGCGCCACCAGCCGAGACGTGCCGCAGGTTCCGACCGACGGCAGTGCGTCACCGTGCGGCGGGCCAGTGTCGGCGTCAGCCAGCTGCGCCGGCCGCTCCGGCGGGCCGACCCCGGCGCCGGCCAACAAAGACGCCGCGGGCAGGGCGAGCTCCGAGCTGCCGGACCAAGAGGCCGGCCCGGGGCGGCTCGGCAGCCCGGTGCCGGCTGCCCTCGAGCTGCTCGACCGGTGCCTAAACCCGGCAGACGCCTACGAGAACATAGAGCAGCGCGCGGCTCCACTGAGCGCGCCTCCGCCCGGCCAGCTGTACCAGAACGTGGCCGCCGAGCAGAGCCCGGCCCGGGCCGGCGCCGCGGCGTCCCGACAGCCGGACGAGCCGGACGCCGGTCTCTACGAGCCGGACGCCGGTCTCTACGAGCCGATCGCCTTTTCGGCTCCGTGCGGGAGCGCCCAGCTGGCCGGCACTCGGTCGGCCCAGACCGAGCCGGCCGAGCACCGCGCACCGCCCGCCGAGCACCGCGCACCGCCCGCCGAGCACCGCGCGCCACACACACAAACGTACGACAAAGCGGGCCAGTACGCGGAAGGCCTGCCGTACGAGAACGTGGACGATGGAGACGGGGAGGCGGATGGTGCCTGGGTGTACGAGGACGTGGCGCCGGCGCCGGCCGCCGCCGAGGAGAGCCACTATGAGCCGGTGGGCGCGGCCGCCGCCCAGCAGCAGCCCGTCTACGAGCAGGTGCGGCAGTTCCGGCGCACTCTGCGCGAGGTGAACTCGATGGTCCGGGTGGGCTCATCCGCCCAGCCTGACGAGGTCGGAGAGGCCGCGCATTGTCCAGCGCAGGCCGCCGAGCGACTGCGTGACGATGAGCTCGACAAACTGTGGGAGGAGCAGCCACCGTGTCCTGCTGCTTCTGAGGAGCTGCCTTCCGTTTCTGAGGAGCCGCCTTCCGTTTCTGAGGAGTCGCAGTGTCCTCCTGCCTCTGAGGAGCCGCAGGGTCCTGCCTCTGAGGAGTCGCAGTGTCCTCCTCCTTCTGAGGAGCCGCCGTGTCCCCCTGCTTCTGAGAAGCCGCAGTGTCCTGCCTTTGAGGAGTCGCAGTGTCGTCCTCCTTCTGAGGAGCTGCAGTGTCCCCCTGCCTCTGAGGAGCCGCAGTGTCCTGCCTTTGAGGAGCTGCAGTGTCCCCCTGCCTCTGAGGAGCAGTGTCCTGCCTCTGAGGAGCTGCAGTGTCCCCCTGCCTCTGAGGAGCAGTGTCATGCCTCTGAGGAGCTGCAGTGTCCCCCTGCCTCTGAGGAGCAGTGTCATGCCTCTGAGGAGCTGCAGTGTCCCCCTGCCTCTGAGGAGCAGTGTCCTGTCTCTGAGGAGCTGCAGTGTCCCCCTGCCTCTGAGGAGCAGTGTCCTGCCTCTGAGGAGCTGCAGTGTCCCCCTGCCTCTGAGGAGCAGTTCCCTGCCTCTGAGGAGGACACTGTGACTGGGGAGGGAGGGGCGCCCGCGGCGGTCCGGGCAGCCACCCCTCCGGCAGTGGTGCGGTACCGGATGGCGCTGTCGGCGAAGGGAGAGGAGGACATTCAGGAGAGCGCTCAGTCCGGAGCTGAGCGCAGCGGCAGAGAGAGTCTGGCCAGCTCCGTGGGTGCGTCCACCAGCCTGGCCGGGGAGACGGCTGCCAGCGCGGCCGGCACTGAGCCGCGCAGCCGCCCGGTCAGCCCCGAGCCGCCCTCTGAGCCGCCGGCCGGTGCAGCCGAGCAGCCGGAAGAGCCGGCGCCCGGCCGACGGACCGCAGGAGCCGAGCCGCCGGGGACTGCGCCGCCGGGGACTGAGCCGCCGGGGACTGCGCCGCCGGGGACTGCGCCGCCGGGGACTGAGCCGCCGGGGACTGAGCCGCCGGGGACTGAGCCGCCGGGGACTGCGCCGCCGGGGACTGCGCCGCCGGGGACTGTGCCGCCGGGGACTGCGCCGCCGGGGACTGAGCCGCCAGAGGCTGACGTAAAGTCTAACCAAGAGCAGCAGGGCGGTGTCAGCAACATTGTCAGAGCAGTTCAGACAGTGTCCCAGCCAAAACCCGAGAGCGTGGCTAGGGTGAAGGCCAATGGAACAGACGGCAGTGCAGAGACACAGGCCACGGATAGCCTGCTGGATTCCGAGTCAATCGCACCCGCTCAACACTGCACGGGCGGAGACTGGACTGCCGCCCACCTAGCGGAGTCGGCCAGCGGGCCAGCCCAGTCCGGCTGGGAGGAGCCGGCCCAGGTGCGGCCGGAGGCGCGCGCTCCCACCCTGGCCGAGCCGGTGGCCGCGGCCCGGTCCCCCACCTGGCCGGGACACTACAGGACGGCGGCCGTAGCGCGCATCCTGCCGCCGCCGGAGCCGGCCCGGCCGGCCAGCCTCTGTCGGCGCCCCTCCGACCTGACGGCAGCCCGCGCCGAGCGCTGCCGGCCCGGTCCGCGGCGCGCCAGCGTGCGCCAGCTGCTCTCCCGGTTCGAGGCGGCCGGCGGCGGTGATGCAGCGGCGCGCGACGAGCCGGTGCCGGCCGGCGGGCCGCTGACGGAACGCGCCGTCGGCTCTGTGCACGAGTCGACTGTGCGCGGGCCGTACGCGCTGGCCACGCGCTCGCTGCCGCGACCGGTGACCAGGCGGCGCGCCGCCTCCCCGGACGGCTGCTGCGCGGCGCCGGCCGCCCGTGCCCGCCCTCCGTCGCCGGCACCGGTGCGACGACACCTGTCCTGCCAGGCGGTGGCCGGCGGAGCCTCGTCAGGGGTCGGAGCGCCGGGGACGGCCGCGGACGGAGCGCCGGGGACGGCCGCGGACGGCCGGCAGCGCCTCAGTCCGGCCCGGCCGGACGGCGACACCTGCCCCTCGCCGGACCCGGCGCTCCGCGAGCCGGCCCTGCCTGTCAGCTCCACCGAGCCGAGCCCGGCCGCCGACGCCACGGCGCGCCAGCGCATCGAACACTACAAGGAGCAGCGGCGCGCCCTGCTGCGGGGCAGGCTGGCCGCCGAGCCGGCGGTACCGGCCCGGCAGCGCGCCGGCCGCCCGCTGCGGCGCGCCGACAGCCTCCGGAGTCCGCTGTCGGCTCCGGCCGCCGACACTCCCCGCTCCTCGGCCGGTGCGGACTCTACGCCCGCGGCCACCGGCACGCGGAGCGCAGGGAGCCTGCCGACGACACTGGCGATGGCGGTGGTGGGCGCGGGCGGCGCCGGGGCGCCGAGGCCGCCGGCCTCCGTCAGCCGGCAGAGGTCGGCCCCGGAGGTGCGGCGCGCGCCCCAGCTCGGCAAAATCCGCCACATGGCCGCCCGGTTCGAGCCGGGGGCCGTGCCCACGCTGTAGGGAGGGGGGATGCCGTGCCGACCGTGCAGGGAGGGCTGCTGCCGGCTGGCGGCAGGGACGCGGCGACGTGGCGTCCCTGTCGGACTGGTTACCGAGCCGCGGACGGAGCCGCCAGCGGCTGCCGAGCCCGGCGGCTCGGTACCGCTGCCCAAGTCTGCGCGGCGCCACCGACCTCTCAGTGATATCCGAGCACGTGACGCACGCTGCCGCCGCAGGCTGCCGGTGCGGTCCTGTCTCGGCACCCAGCCTATAGCTGAACTAGGAGCCGGGAGACGGGCTCTTGGCATATACCGCAGCGCTTTTGTCGAGTCATGAATTTGCGGCGTGTTGATATGAAATGTAATTGGTCTCGCAGTGTCTGCTCAGTCATTGTTCAGCCACCGACGTCTGAAGGTGTTTGTTGCCGGGCGTTGTGCGGTGTTTGTTGCCGGGCGTTGTGCGGTGTTTGTTCGCGGGCGTTGTGCGGTGTTTGTTCGCGGGCGTTGTGCGGTGTGCCGCTATCTGTGTGTAACGGCCGACTGGTCCGCGGCCCGAGGCTGCTGCGCCGCCGCGGGCGCCACATTCTATGAATCATCTGAACTAGGGCGGCGTGCAGACCGGCCTGTGTTCCCAGTCATGTGTTGTGCCGCCCGCCGAACGGTGCCCGAGGTCGGCGGCGCCAGTGGTTTATGAACGCAATGAACAGGTGCTTACAGACGTGTCTGTGTGTTTGTGCGGGGGTCGAGCGCGGGAGCCGGGCCCGATTCGCGGACCGGAGCCGCGCCCGCGGCTACGGCCGGGCCCAGCGTGTCCAGGCAACACACTGAGTGGACACGCGTCCCGTCACTGCCTGTCCCGACCAGTGAACACGCGTCCCGTCACTGCCTGCCCCGACCAGTGAACACGCGTCCCGTCACTGCCTGTCCTGACCAGTGAACACGCGTCCCATCACTGCCTGTCCTGACCAGTGAACACGCGTCCCGTCACTGCCTGCCCCGACCAGTGAACACGCGTCCCGTCACTGCCTGTCCTGACCAGTGAACACGCGTCCCATCACTGCCTGTCCTGACCAGTGAACACGCGTCCCGTCACTGCCTGTCCTGACCAGTGAACACGCGTCCCATCACTGCCTGTCCTGACCAGAGAACACGCGTCCCATCACTGCCTGTCCTGACCAGTGAACACGCGTCCCATCACTGTCCGGTGGGCACGTCCGGCTGACCAGGCTGCCGGTACTCGAGCCGCGGACCTCCGTGACGAGACACACTGAGCCGGCCGTCTGTCGTGGGTGGGTGGGGTACGGTGCGCCTAGCTCTGGCGTCCCAAGTCTTGATTGGTGAGTCTCATTCGTTTGCGCTTAACTTCATGAGGCAGGTTAGGGAACCAAGGATAGACTAAGCGGCGAGTAGGATGCACGATGGTTTGCGCCGATAGAGCCCAGGTCGGCCAGATGCAGGGGAAGCCAGCCCTGTCCACCACACTGCGCGCTGCGTCTGGGACTCTCATTCAGCGCCACCCAGCCGGCAGCCCTGTCCACCACTGCGTCCGAGACTCTCATTCAGCGCCACCCAGCCCTGTCCACACGGGACTATCATTCAGCGCCACCCAGCCCTGTCCACCACTGCGTCCGGGACTCTCATTCAGCGCCACCCAGCCCTGTCCACCACTGCGTCCGGGACTCTCATTCTGCGCCACCCAGCCCTGTCCACCACTGCGTCCGGGACTCTCATTCTGCGCCACCCAGCCCTGTCCACCACTCCGTCCGGGACTCTCATTCAGCGCCACCCAGCCCTGTCCACCACTGCGTCCGGGACTCTCATTCAGCGCCACCCAGCCCTGTCCACCACTGCGTCCGGGACTCTCATTCAGCGCCACCCAGCCCTGTCCACCACTGCGTCCGGGACTCTCATTCAGCGCCACCCAGCCCTGTCCACCACTGCGTCCGGGACTCTCATTCAGCGCCACCCAGCCCTGTCCACCACTGCGCGAGATGCGTCCGGGACTCGCGGCACTCGGCGCCGTACCTGGCACGGCCCGAATATGCCGCTAGATTTGGCACTGTAGAGTCTATCGATGTGTCCATTGGTCCCCTGCTCGATCGTAGACTCATCGAAGCTCACGTAGACACGAGTCTGAGAAAGTCGTATTGTGTATTATCACACGGTCCGTGCCCAGTCAGTGACAGAGAACACCCGCACACATTCACAGAGCGCGCCCAGCCGGCCGGGCGCCCCTATATTACAGCGCCGACAGCCGACACTGGCCGCGCGCCGGTCCGACAGTACAGCGGCGCGGCGCCCGGGCGCCCGGCCACCGGCCACCTGCGCCGGCCGCCATCTCAACACGTTCACGCCGGGTGCAGCGGGCACTCACCGCTCCAACAGACACACACACAACTCCGACAGAGCCCAGGTCCTTCCCAGACGCCCTCGCCGTTAAAGCCACAGACTACCTGAAAGGAGCGCGGCTGCGCGCTCACAGTCGACAGGACGGCACGCACGCCTGCACGGCGCCGCAGGGCGACTGGGAGTGCTCCAGTAGCGCCGCCACGCTCCTGCAGCCGGGCGGCAGACGCGGTGTGCACGGTGGCCAGGGGGCGGCGGACGCGGGTCCGGCCAGCCGGGCGACTGGACGGCCCCGGGCCGGCGCAGTCGCTGTCTGCCGACAGAACGCCCGGCGGTCCCACCTACCAGTCCGGCACAACGCCAGTCTCCGCACGAGCCGCTCCACTGGCAAAGGCCAGGAGAGCGGGCAGAGTCGGCGCGCCGCGCACTGGCCGACAGACGGCGCGCCGCGCGCTGGCACATCCCGCCGCCTCTCAATGGGAGATATTTGGGGGTTTCGCGGCCCACAGAGCGGGGCCAGGGCAGGCAGCTAGTGCAGGGGCCGCGCCTCTGCCCGCCACCTGGCGGAGGGTTCTGGGACTACCAGTGCCCCCCCCCCCCCCCTCCCACAGACGGCCCGCGGGGCTAGACCTCACTGACGGCCCGCCGGACTCTACATGTATAGCTCAAAGTGGGAAAGACAGCGGCGCGCACCGCGTTTCCACAACAGCGCTACGAACGGGGGCGTCCGACGGACGCGGCGACCGGGGAGCGCCCGCGCTGCACCACGCCCCGGTGCCTCGGCTGCCGATATTTCTGCTTAAATACGCAATACGCATCGAGGGAAACAAAGGTGTCATCCATTGAAACATAATATAATATGAGCATTATCAACAATTCACATGTACATATTCCCTAAAACATTCACAACATTATCTAGCTACTGAGCGTTTGATGGGCCGAGGCTCGATTAGATTGTGTAAGGCAAGTGGTGCGTTCTGCTTTAGTTCGCTGTGCCGGTGCTGAATGGCATCAGCTGCTTACCAAGGCCGCCGGCCGATCCTGCGCACCGCCGGACAGCAGATCCTGCGCACCGCCGGACAGCAGATCCAGATCCTGCGCACCACGGGGTAACAGATCCAGATCCGGCGGCCGATCCGTGTGGGACGATCTCTGTGTGTCCAACTCCCCCGGCGGCGCCACGGAGCGCCACAGAGTTCGGCCCCTGGCCGGGCGCCGCTGCACTCCAGGCTGAGCGCTGTCGGACGTCACTCCGGCTCGGGTGCCGCAGTCTACTGGTGGCGGTCGGGCGGTCGGCGCTCCAGGCTACCCGCCGCGGTGCCTACTGGTGGCGGTCGGGCGGTCGGCGCTCCAGGCTACCCGCCGCGGATCCTACTGGTGGCGGTCGGACAGCGGCGGCCGCTGAGCGCCGTACCGCTGCCGCACAAAGATGGACTGCGAGCGGCGCAGGTGGTCTACTTCCCTCCTGTGGAGCACAGAGACACAGACACCCATCGACCGTCAGAGGGGGAGGGGCACACAGAGACAGACACCCATCGGCCGTCAGAGGGGGGGGGGGGCACACAGAGACACAGACACTCATCGGCCGTCAGAGGGGGGGGGGGCACACAGAGACACAGACACTCATCGGCCGTCAGACGGGGGGGGGGGTATACAGAGACACAGACACCCATCGACCGTGAGACGGGGGGTGGGGGGGGGGGGTGGGGGGGGGACACACAGAGACACAGACACCCATCGACCGTCAGACGGGGGGCATACAGAGACACAGACACCCATCGACCGTCAGAGGGGGGCATACAGAGACACAGACACCCATCGACCGTCAGATTGGGGGGGGGCATACAGAGACAGACACCCATCGACCGTCAGAGGGGGAGGGGCACACAGAGACAGACACCCATCGGCCGTCAGAGGGGGGGGGGGGGCATACAGAGACACAGACACTCATCGGCCGTCAGACGGGGGGGGGGGTATACAGAGACACAGACACCCATCGACCGTGAGACGGGGGGTGGGGGGGGGGGGGGTGGGGGGGACACACAGAGACACAGACACCCATCGACCGTCAGACGGGGGGCATACAGAGACACAGACACCCATCGACCGTCAGAGGGGGGCATACAGAGACACAGACACCCATCGACCGTCAGATTGGGGGGGGGCATACAGAGACAGACACCCATCGACCGTCAGAGGGGGGGGGGGGCACACAGAGACGCAGACACCCATCGGCCGTCAAACGGGGGGGGGGCATACAGAGAGACAGACACCCATCGGCCGTCAGAGGGGGGAGGGGGCGGGGGGGGGGGGGGGCACAGAGAGACACAGACACCCCTCAGCCGTCAGACGGGGGGGGGGGGGCAAAGAGAGACACAGACACCCATCGGCCGTAAGATGGGGGGGGGGAGCATACAGAGACACAGACACCCATCGGCCGTCAGAGGGGGGGGGCATACAGAGACACAGACACCCCTCAGCCGTCAGACGGGGACAGTGTGGCCAAATTGGTGATGTTGCGGGGAAAGTCACCCCCAATGAAAAGTATAATGACATCCTCAAAAATTTTAAAATTACATCATCACGACGTTTTTGTCGTGAAAGCATACCTACCTAGTGTAGGAATAAAGACTGAAAATGTTCCAATGTACGATTCGCACCGTCATACTCGTACTGTCGCGCTTGCAATGTCGTTTTTTACATCTTTAATGACAATATTTGTTTTTTTTTTCTTTCCACCAGAACTTGACGTCAGGTATAGTTTTTTCACATTATCTGTAAAAACTGCACCTGAAATGAGGCTGAAGACGAGTTTTTTTTTTTTTTTTTAAATAGTGACATCCTTGTACGACTTTTTATACATCCTCCCCCTAACGCTAAACCAATTTGGCCACACTGGACGGGGAGGGGGGGGGGCACGGTACTGAGGGATCCGATGCACCCAAACTAACACGCAAAGGAACCAGGCGAGCTTCATAGCCCGAGCGAAGGAGATCATAACATACAAATTATGGATGAGATGTACATACATCTCACTATTTTCCAGACGGCTGTCCGTGACATCGACAGTCTATAGCACTTCCAGCCGCTGTTTTGCGGGAGCAGCGCGGTTTGGCTGGTCCCACACTCGCGACAAGCAGAGCGCACCCGACCTTCGGCCGGGCCGGCGGCCGGCGCCGTCCTACCGTTGGCCGGGGCAGCAGCGGCCGGGTCTCCAGGCCGTCGTGGCGCGGCACAGGGAGACCGCAGGCGGCCCAGGCTATGTGCACTGGCGGCGGGCCCCACCCGTTGTGACAGCGCTCGCAGCTCTATCGGTAATGGGGCCTTGACTGCACTCATCGGTTGGATCCTGAGCAGCCTTCCTCAGCCACAGAACGGCGGAACGGGACGTCTGAAGGCCGGGCCGGGAGGTCTGCTCACCGGACAGCCAGAGGCCGCATATCCAGTCAATGGATAGCCAGAGGTCGGATATCCACTCAATGGATAGCCAGAGGCCGGATATCCACTCAGCGGACAGCAGGAGGTCGGATATCCACTCAATGGATGGCCAGAGGCCGGATATCCACTCAGCGGACAGCAGGAGGTCGGATATCCACTCAATGGATAGCCAGAGGTCGGATATCCACTCAATGGATAGCCAGAGGTCGGATATCCACTCAATGGATAGCCAGAGGTCGGATATCCACTCAATGGATAGCCAGAGGTCGGATATCCACTCAATGGATAGCCAGAGGTCGGATATCCACTCAGCGGACAGCAGGAGGTCGGATATCCACTCAATGGATAGCCAGAGGCCGGATATCCACTCAGCGGACAGCAGGAGGTCGGATATCCACTCAATGGATAGCCAGAGGTCGGATATCCACTCAATGGATAGCCAGAGGTCGGATATCCACTCAATGGATAGCCAGAGGTCGGATATCCACTCAATGGATAGCCAGAGGTCGGATATCCACTCAATGGATAGCCAGAGGTCGGATATCCACTCAATGGATAGCCAGAGGTCGGATATCCACTCAATGGATAGCCAGAGGTCGGATATCCACTCAATGGATAGCCAGAGGTCGGATATCCACTCAATGGATAGCCAGAGGACGGACATCCACTCACCGGATAGCCGGAGATCGGATATCCACTCACCGGATAGCCAGCGGCAGAGGTCGGATGGGCACCTTACTCCTCATCACTTGGTTCATGGCCAGCGTACGCAGTGGCGGGCCTGTCAGCAGTACACAGGGCGCACAGTCAGTGCACAGTCAGACAGCACACCGTCAGACAGCACACAGTCAGATAGCGCACAGTCAGACAGCGCACAGTCAGATAGCGCACAGTCAGCTGACAGCGCACAGTCAGACAGCACACAGTCAGACAGCGCACAGTCACAGTCAGACGACACACAGTCACACAGCCAGACGTGGCGATTACGCTTCCCTTCCAAGGTGCGTCAGCCACAGACGATCGTCCGCCGGTGCCCCAGGGAGGGGAGGGGAGGGGGAGGGGAACACTCACAGATCTCCAGCACGTGCAGGTCGCTGTGATCGACCAGCGGCGGCTCGTCCTCCTCCTCGGCCGGCGACTTGGCCGGCATCGGAGAGCCAATCAGCGGGCTGCAACACACACACAGAGCCAATCAGAAGACTGAAACACACAGAGAGCCAATCAGAGGACTACAAACACACAGAGAGCCAATCAGCGGGCTATAAATACACAGAGAGCCATTCAGAGAACTACAAATACACAGAGAGCCAATCAGAGGACTACAAACACACAGAGAGCCAATCAGCGGGCTATAAATACACAGAGAGCCAATCAGAGGACTACAAATACACAGAGAGCCAATCAGAGGACTGAAAACACACAGAGAGCCTTTCAGCGGGCTGAAACACACAGAGAGCCAATGAGAGGACTGAAAACACCCAGAGAGCCAATCAGCGGGCTATAAATACACAGAGAGCCAATCAGAGGACTACAAATAAACAGAGAGCCAATCAGAGGACTACAAATACACAGAGAGCCAATGAGAGGACTGAAAACACACAGAGAGCCTTTCAGCGGGCTGAAACACACAGAGAGCCAATCAGCGGGCTATAAATACACAGAGAGCCAATGAGAGGACTGAAAACACACAGAGAGCCTTTCAGCGGGCTGCAACACACAGACACAGAGTCAATCAGAAGACTGAAAACACACAGAGAGCCAATCAGAGGACTGAAAACACACAGAGAGCCAATCAGAGGACTGAAATACACAGAGAGCCAATCAGAGGAATACAAATACACAGAGAGCCAATCAGCGAGCTGAAACACACAGAGCCTTTCAGCGGGCTGCAACACACAAACACAGAGTCAATCAGCGGGCTGAAGCACACAGAGAGCCAATCAGCGGGCTATAAATACACAGAGAGCCAATCAGCGGGCTGCAAATACACAGAGCGGTGCGAGCGACTTTATCGAGTGTCATTGGGCGAAAGTCATTTGAGCGAACCATTTTCAGCGACTGTCATTTTAGCAATTATCAAGTTAAGCGGTAATCAACTTAAAGGGAATAGTTCACTTTCCAGAAATTAGTTTTTCTTTGCAATGGATGGATTTATGATTTTTTATGCTCAACATGATCAGCAAAGAAAATAAAACCTTTTTATAGATATTATTTTCATTATTCTAATATAGGAAGAACTATATTCTATATAAAATATTGTCTGACGCGGAAGCATTATTACGCATTATCATGTTGCGTATTAGGGGAAGGTGGGGTAAGACGTCCCAGCGGGGCAAGATGGACCACCAGCCCTCCCGGCTGAACCGCTGCTGTTATCTACCTACTGCTTTATGCACTTACTACCTTTGTCTTCATTTGTAACAATGGCCACCTTGAGCTCATGGGGCTAGGATGGATAGAGATTGAGCTATTGAGAAAAAATGTTGTTTTTCGTCAAACCGATATAAAAGGTCTAAAGGCCGGAACACAGCACACGCTTGCAAAGCGTGTCGAACTCGCGTCAAGCTGGAAAACGCTTCGTGCGCTGTGTTTTCACTTGCAAATCAGCTCACAACCCGTGTCCAAAACGCGTTCTGGAAAACGCTTGGAAAACGCTTTGCGGAAAACGCTTTCTTGGAAAACGCTTTGCGCTTCCAACCAACCCCAACCCACGCCGAAAAAGCGTTGATTATGCAGTATGCTTCACCGTTTGCACGTGACATAGACATATCCATGCTTCTTTTTCATAACGAAATTTTATGCAGCGCTCTTTCGAGGAAAATTCTTGAGCATTGGTAGTTCAAATGATCTTCTCCTCGATACTTGATTGAAAACAGCACAGGTTAAATGTTACTTCCTTTTGTAGGAAATTCCTTAAAAACAGTTGATGCCATGCCACATCATGCGGCATGCCACATTGGAACATAACTATTTGTTCAGTCAATTATCATGGTCACAATCCGTTGTTTAGAAGTTTTTCAAACAAATACAACACCGCTCTTGCAAATCTAACAATTGTTATCGTTCAATCTAATCTAACAATTCATTTAATCTAATAATCCAACGATTACCATCCGTAAGTAAACTACATGTTTCTCCTTTTGCGTTATGCAAATCACATGATATACTTAACATAACATCATAGGCGGCGGAGCGGGGAGGGCACCGGACACCGTGCCCCCTTTCATTTGGGCATTTTAACATTTGCCCTATGGTCGTTGCACAATGTTGGAAATAAGATCCTTGGTTGGTCCCCGTCGTGTCCAAAAGATTGTGTTCTCGGCTGTAACTTCCTTTTGTAACCATGGCTCCTAAGGCTAAGGCAGGAGGCAAAAAGAAGGTGGCCCCAGCCAAGAAGGCTGCGGCCCCAGCTGCTGAGGCTGGCCCTGCAGCCGAGGCCCAGGCCAACCGCCGTCAACTTACCTGGTGCCGCCGAAGATGTAGCAGCCGAGGCACCTGGCGGCGCCGTCAACTCACCTGGTGCCGCCGAAGATGTAGGCCTTGCCGTTGTGCACGCAGGCGACGGCGCGCCGGCGGACGGGCGGCGGCCGGCCGTGCGGCCGCAGCAGGCGCCACCGGTTCTGCGCCGGATCGTAGCGGTGCACCGTGTTGTAGTGCTCGCCGGCCAGACAGTTGAGGCCGCCGAACGTGTACAGCTTACCGTCAATCACGACTGGCGACCGGACGGGGGTGTCAGATCCAGCGCCGGGACGGGGGTGTCAGATCCAGCGCCGGGACGGGGTGTCAGATCCAGCGCCGGGACGGGGTGTCAGATCCAGCGCCGGGACGGGGACGTGCAGCAGGCAGCGTCAAATCATGATATTGCAAAATCATAATGATTCATTAGCGCCCAAAGTTTTATCATTCTCACCACAAAACTAAATGTTACCGTGGTCGTGTAAAATGTATGTAGGCGCCGCGCCGCGGAACGCTTTTTGACGTACCACGTTTGAGGCCAATTAGCGGGCCACCGAGCACCTGTTGAACAATTGAAATCTCCCCAGCCCCACTAGGACAGCGAGACACCGCGGACCTGCTGACACATTGAAACATCGCCGCTAACTCAGGAGCAGGCCGCCCCGGCTGAACGCGTGCTAAATCTCAACTCAAAGCAGACACCACACTGCACAGTATATGCATCGCCAATGTAGTGCCCCGACAGGCACGAATAATTCAGTTTTCTGAGCCGTTCTTTACTTCCTTGTAAATATAACAACAGAGTGAGAATCCCCAAGTCGAAAAATGTCACCAAAACATGGGTAATCCTGTTCAAGGTACAGCGCATAATCCGGTCTCCTTGGATTGTACCGGGAATACGAGCGGACTGCGCGGCCACACGGCCACGGGAAGGACGTCTCCTTCCAGCCGCAGCTCGACAGCGCATCGCGTGGCACGACAGCGGTGAGCCCTGTCTAGCCACCCGATTCGCTGGAATAAAAGATGGGGAAAAGACAAATCCATTCACACCATCTAGGCCAAACATGCCTTAATCTAATCTCTGTATCAGTCATTCAGTCCGTCAGTCCGTCCGTCCGTCCGTCCGTCCGTGTCCGTCCGTCCGTCCGTCCGTCCGTGCCTGCCTGTCTCTGTCTGTCTGTCTGTCTGTGTGGGTGTGTTTGTCCCGCCCCAGCGGACACTCACAGGCCGAGTGACTGCGCCGGCCGCCGGGCGCCTCGCCCTTGGCCTCGCGGCGGTCCCAGCGCTCGGCTGCCGGGTCGTACACGTACAGGTGGTTGTCGTACACCGGCCGGTTGCTGTAGTAGGGCTCCAGCTGTCGGCACAGACCCGCACCGTCACAGCGCAGTCAGCACAGGCGCCGCCAGACACCCGCGCATGGGTGGCATACAGCCGACGGCGATCCGACACCAATAGCTCGGGGATGACGCAGCCGCGCGGACAGCCACACCTCATCAGATCGGCAGTCAGCCGGGAGTTCGCCAGACTGTCGGGGGGACGTCTCACACAGCGCCGAACGCTAAACACGCCCCATACACTGCGACGTACACTGCGACATACCGCATGGCACCATGTCAGGACCTCCAGCGATACACGCCAGTGCAACAGCAAAGCCCAGTAAGGCACTCCCGTACGGCACAGGACTCCTAAGCGGCACAGCACTCCCGTACGGCACAGGACTCCCGTTCGACATGACACTCCCGTCCCCCCGCAGGACTCCCGTACGGCACAGGACTCCTAAGCGGCACAGGACTCCCGTACGGCACAGGACTCCCGTTCGACATGACACTCCCGTCCCCCCGCAGGACTCCCGTGCGGCACAGGACTCCTAAGCGGCACAGGACTCCCGTACGGCACAGGACTCCCGTTCGACATGACACTCCCGTCCCCCCGCAAGACGACTCCTGTGCGACACAGGACACCTTTGAGTTCGACATAACACCTTTGAGTAGGTCCGGGCCCACCCGGCTCAGCAGTGAGCCCCCGCCATCGCACCGTGGGAGATCTGGCCGGTCTAGCCTCACGAAACCTCAAAAGAAATTTTTCCCGAACATTGGAAAGCAACGTACAATCCACAGCAGAAGTAACGTGTGGTTTCAGTCATGGGTATGTTCTGCTTCTGAAGCTTAGGAACGATTAGCCAGACTACAATGAAACTTTGAATGTAGCTTACATGTATCGTCACCCTTGCAGCTGCAGCTTTATCTATTGACGTCTTCTTTTCGATCACTCCGCATAAAAAAATCGCCAGTCAAAGCCATCCGTTGAGATTGGTAAAACAGCAAGTTACTTTAGCGGTGGGCTATACATTAGTTGACAGCAAATCCATCAGAGATTACGAACAGTGCATCTGCAAGTGCATGGCCCAGGCGAAACTTTTTCTTCGACAAAAGTGTCGTTAAAGACAGCATTCCGTAGCACTTCATAATCCTCGCCCGCACGTGTCATTTTCCCATCCTATAGAACGCAGATGGGGGAGGGGGTTGTTGTCATCCCCCCCGCGCCATTTCGTTCCTGCTGTAGATAGAGCTTCGCGGCAAACACCAACAAATTCTTTGGGAAGAGGCGAATCCAATGGTACCCAATTTTACCTGATTAGGTCAGTCATTGACCTCCCAGGTCAGGTCAAACAAAAAAATGTTGCTGTTTGGGGCCACCGCTGGAATATCACGTGCTGTGCCCATCATATACCGATGAGGCTGTCGTTTGTGGTGCCAAGCCAGCTAGAACAGCTTTTTGTCACATTATCCGACTAGGTTTTTACTGGCTGTGGTCATTTCAGGTCAAGTTAGGTCAAGGCAATGATATGTGTTTGTATGTCTGTGTGTCTGTGCGTATACTGATGTGTGCAACGATGGGTTTGTGTGTCCCTATTACATGGGATCATGAACTGAGAAGCTTTTACCAAAAATGCAGTAAAAAAAAACTTCATCAAGTGAAATTCAGCTAGCCTAAAATGCCATGTTTTTAGATGACCTAGGACCTAGGTTGACCTTGACCCTGACATCTGTACATCGTCGAACATGTTCCATGATAGGTGGGATGGGAAGTAAGACTAGCAAAACAATACCGAAATCAAGGTGTCAAAAGCTCACAAGACCCATAGTTAACGCAAAATATTGAGTATTGGCCATTTGGGTCCTGACATGATCTGAAGAACTAGGTCATATCTCCGAAACAAAAAACCACAGAAACTTGAAATTTTCACTGGACGCTGAGAAAAGATAGAGAAGCAGCTATACAAAAATAAGGCTTCTAGCTTTAAAAACGTTTAGTGCAGAGCAGAAAAACTACCGGGGAGGGGGGGGGGGCGGGATGGCAACCCCCCATCATGTGCGGATGAGGGATAATGGGGATTAGCAGAGCCGATTTTTACGGTCTTGTAAGATTTTGCGTAATAATGAAATTGCTAAATGCTGAACAACCATTTTGCTTGGAAAGTGAAATTTGGATGTTTAGAAGATTCCACCATAAAAATAAAATAGACCATAAAAATAAAATAGAAAAATAAATACCTCTTACGGTCTTACCCAACTCGTATCGTCAAAAATTTCGACCAACCTTCAAAAGTATTCATGCCTTATTCGGGCTGCAATTATGGTAAATTGCAAGCTCGCTCCAGGGCACAAATGCCGAAAGGAGCACTTTTTATTTGCGGCATATGCTCATTAGATATTCAAGACTGTTGCTCTCAAATTATAGTTCTAGCTTCTAAAGCATGGATACTATGAATGTCGATTGGTTTCGCGAGGCTACACCGTCGCCCACTGTGCATCGGGCAGATGTGCACCTGGCGTCGGGCGCTGCCAGTAACATTTACAGAGGAGCGCCGGCCCCGCGAGGGCGCACAATCACACTGTTCACGGAATATTACACGGTTAACAGACATTCGGCAAACATTCCTGGGAGCTTCGGCACGCCTTTTGTAACCAGCAGAGACCGTTCATTGTTCAAAAGCTTAACATTATGTGAATAAACCTAAGTTGACGATGTATACAGCGTGTCCCAGAATTGACCGAACACTTTTAATCAGCGCATAAGATAAGGGAAAAAATAATTAACTTTTTATTTTTATCGTCCGATATAGCAAATAAGGGTAGCTTCGAAATGGCACAGGCAATAGACACGCTAACCTCCTAAGGTTATTCCTCCCTGGCAATTTCCTCCCTGCGCAATTTCCTTACCTTGGTATCTCCTTACTCCTTCCATTGTCACCCGCTTAGTACCGCTTAGTACCGACGCCTTGGTACCGAACAGGAAAGGACGTGACTACTAGTCAAGAGAACGACTACAGTGAAGTTGGACGCTTGGGTCGCAAGGCTACGCGTCCTATTCCAACAACAACAACAACAACACGCTAGCTACAACATTAGCCGACAACTGTAGCTAAATGCCAGGCGATGCTGGCTTCAGTTGTTTTACGGGTCTCTCGAAACTGGTTGTAAGATGGTTTTCATTGACCTCTTGCCGGTGGATACTATACATATTTTCGATTAACTTTGCACCCAAACTGTTCCCAGGCCAATAAGGCATTCTCTCCCAAAACCAAAAATTCTGCCAACACCACTGTTGCGCTGTTTTGTTGACATCTGAAGTGGAGAACCTCCATGCCTGAACATGGCGTGACCTTTGGCTTCCAACAGATTTGGTTTCCAGAACGAACCCGTTTATGGCCATTCAGTTCACGACAACCAGTTTTTGTAATGCTTGAATATTACCGCAGTAGCAATCTGTGTTAACGGTCGTCTTTGGGGCATCACATGGAGCTGAAGGAGCGCACCGTGGCTCAAAATGTCTCACACTTCGATTTTCGACGAGTGCCTGGCCGTCTCGGCTGTTGGGGCGTTGTCACCATCTGACGTCTACACGACTTTTTTTGTGTCGCTTCAAAGGGCAGAATACCTTCGTAAAACCACAAAGTGTGTTTCCATTCACTTTTTTTGTTGCATATGTTATGATTTATGGCTGCTTTGTAGTGAGTTGCGCTATCTTTCCGATAGTTTTGGCATATTTTTCAAATGAGAGGCCCGAAATTCCAAAATTTTGTCGAAGATATTTTTTTGTCAAAATTTGTCAAAATTTTGTCAATTTTTTTGTCAAATTTTGTCAAAAGTAGACTGATGTTTCGTAACTAACCCTGATCTGTCGTTAAGCTTGTGTTTGGGTTGATGGGTGGCGTTTGCTGTCCATGACATGGCAACCACCTGCTTGACGACTGGTGCATGCTCCTTTTTGGTCGCGCCCAGGCTTGTCGATCAGGTTACCTCTTGCTCTCTCTGGCTTCGCTCGCTGATATAACTGCGGTTTGCTCACCCCTGCCTGCTTGCAAATGAGCTACTGGAGCTCTCCAGCAAGAACCATGCCGAAAGTCCGTTTACAAACTTCAGAATTGCACTTTATTCACCATGATAGCCTTTTGTTTGCTGAGACTGAAAACGAAAAGTGACTCTGAGTCTCTGACGAGGAAAACGAAAAAAAAAACTCTTTGCTGACTCTGGATAATAACTGAGTCGTGACCGGTCACCAAAAACACACAGTCTCCAAGCTCGATAGCTAAGGTATGATGTCTTATAAAAGTATAATGCTCGTATCTAATTAGAATCGAGAGCAATCGTACTTTTAGCCAGGAAATAAATGTTCGGTCAATTCTGGGACACCCTGCATTGCCGGTAGTAGTTGGCGTCCGTTAACAAAATACAGGTTCATGGCCCGGTGGCAGCGTTCATAGGAGGGCGCGGCGGCCGGGGTACCCACCTCATCCGACTTGCCGCCAAACAGGTACAGCTTGTCGCCGACCGTGGACAGAGCGTGGAAGTCGCGGTGCATGCCCTCCCAGCGGTCGCAGAGCGCGCACGCGTGCCACACGCCTTCGCGAAAGTCGTATCGGAACAGGTCGCGCGAGAACTCCTCCATGTCGTTGTCGTAGCCGCCGTGCACGTACAGACAGTGGCCGTGGCGCGTGGCCGCGTGACCGTCGCGCGCGTTGGGGATCATGCCGCCGTGCGCGATCCGACTCCACTTGTCAACGTCTGCGGCAGAGTGACGGGGGGGGGGGGGGGCACACATAGAGCCGGACGGTGAGAAGGCACTCAGAGTGAGAGGGGGGCACACAGAGAGCCGGACGGTGAGAAGGCACTCAGAGTGACGGGGTCACACAGAGCCGGACGGTGAGAAGGCACTCAGAGTGAGGGGGCATACACAGAGCCGGGCGGTGAGAAGGCACTCAGAGTGGGGGGGGGGGCACACAGAGAGCCGGACGGTGAGAAGGCACTCAGAGTGGGGGGGCACACACAGAGCCGGGCGGTGAGAAGACACTCAGAGTGACGGCCTGACTGACAGCGGCGGACACACTCCGAGAATACGGACACAGGCGTGAGCCGAGCACTGCGTGCAGGTGACTGGCCACCGAACAGCTGGCGAGTTGGGGCCATCGGCGCCGCCGGCCCGCTCGGCGTCCCGAGTGAGCGGCCTCGGTCACTGACTCGGCCGGCGGCCAGCGGCCGGCGGCCGGCTGTGACCGGTCCGGCGGCCGACCGGTCACAGCCACCGCGGCTGAGCCGGCAGGCACCCGGGCCGCGGCCCCGCAAACAGCAGCCCAACTGGCACCGGCTACTGCACCACTCCAAAGGCCGCCTTCTCAGTCCCACAGCCGCCGCACACCGCCCCTGCCCACTCACAGGGGTCGTAGCGGTAGAGCCGGTTGCAGACGGACGCCTCGTTCCGTCCGCCGAAGATGTACGCGGCGCCGGCGTACTCGGTGGCCGTGTGACCGTAGCGCAGGAACGGAGGGCTGGACGGGTGGTCGGCACGGTACTCGGGCACCGGCTGTTTGGTCCACTGCAGGGTCTCTGCCGGCGGCGCAGACACACGCGCCGTCAGCGCACGCACACACACCGCCCCCTCCCCCACCCCTCCCCCCCACCCCCACACACACGCGACAAAACATTGACAACCACACGGACAACCACACGGACAACCACACGGACACACAGATACGTCCACCCCCCCCCCCCCCCCACTCCGAATCCCGCGGGCGGCAGCGCGTGCTTTGTGTGCTCATATTTGTCGTTCGTCGGTCGCAGTCGTTTCGGTGGACGCTGTGGGGACATACTCCCACAGAAGGAGGTCCTGTAAACATATGGCGGATTCCGCTCGGCAGTTCAAAGCATATAAAACATGCATAAAAGACGGCCAATTTTAGGCCGCGTTCGATGCCTCCTCAGACGAAGAACATTCTACGCAGAATATTCTATTTCGCGTTCGATGAAGCACACAGTCGGACGACGAGAACGGCCATTTTGTGCGCCACTTACGAAATGGGCGTCAGTTTCGAAAAAGGCCCAAGTTTACGTTTCCATTGAGACCACGCACAAATATCAACAACTTCTGTAAACAGCTGCTGCGCTGCTTTTGAAATACGCGCCATCATTGCCTCTCTGCCCACCATAGTACGCTCAAAAGATTCTGCGCGGACGGCAAAGATTCTACGTGACGTCACGTAGAATCTTTGCCGTCCGTGCGACATCGAACGGCATTTTGGGCCCGGACGGCATAGAATCTTCGCCGTCCGGGAGACATCGAACGCGGGGTTAATGTCGGGCGCAGCGGGTATCTGCCGGCCGAGGGCGGCGGCAGCAGTTCTGAGGGCGCCGGATCATCCTCGGCCGACAGATACATACCTACACTGTTCCGGGAAGCTGGTAAGGCCACCAGACGGACGCCTCTCAAACTAGCGCGCCCCGCTTCCGACAACAGCGACGGCCGCCTGGAAGATTACATGGCGAGACCGAGCGATGGATGGATGGGCTTAGCGGTGGGCTGGCCGCGGCGGTGGCCACCGATCCCGTCCGTCCCCGGGCCGCGGTGTGTGACAGCTCAGCAGCGCCACGGCAGGCACCGGACCAAAGCCGCCGGCGCTGCAAGGGAGACGGCTGGTACCCGATTTGAAGGTCTTGGGTCAACCGGTGACCTCTGAGGTCAGGTCAAGTGGCCCAAGTTATGCGTTCGGTTTTTCGCGAATACCTTCGCGAAAAAAAAAAATGATGGCAGAGCCTCGATTTTGACAGCATCGTGTTCGCCTTGCTCAGACGCGTCGGATGGTATACTTCTTGCTTGGGTGAGGTCAACTTTAGGTGTTGACCTCGGGTCACGGTCAGTTCAGAGCCCCCAGGTCACGAACTTGGTCAAAGGTCATGCCGCATATCATTCGATTCGGCAGGTCTTTCCGAGTCCATTGGTGGCTTTACCAACTCGCTAGCTCAATTTGATCATGAGTTGTTGACGAAAAACTCTCATGACCCTAGTGACGTCATACATGACGTCACGCAAGGTCAAAAATGTAAAAGTGAAGCACCGAAAATTGCAAGGATTGCATGAAAGCACGATTCCGTGTGGTTGAGATATTTTAAGATCGTTCCCGGCGCCAAAATAGCAGTTTTCATTTTTCCCCCATTGACTTATAATGGAGAGGTCACGAAAATGACCTGACCTCATATGACGTTTAGGAAAAATCCGAGATATGCAAATTGTCAGACTCCTAATGTTTATTAGGTCCCACAAGTTTCATCTCACTGTGAAAGCTCCTCTGGCAGTGAGAGCGTTGCGAAGTTACGACATCTGAAGACCGTGCCGAGGTTTGCTTATGAGGTCATAGGTCAGTGACCTAGCCTGAGCCGAAAATGCGGTTGGTGTCAGAAGATCCGGCTTGAATCAAAGGTCAGGATGCTAAGTTTCAGCTCTCCATCGCCAGCGTGTTCGGAGCTATCGCGAAAAACCCTCATGGGGGTGGGCGGCACCCGCCCCCCCCCCTCGGCCGGCGAGGGTTAAACCGCCGATTGGCACGTGCAGTACGGGTCCACCATATGCATCGAGTGTAGTTCGACGCTTGATAGAAGGGTTGCAACTACCCTAAAAGATAGCGCAGTTCCATGGGCCTGCAGCGGCGGTTACTGGGATACAGCCGGGCCTGTGATACGGGCCGTTTGGGGCCGGGCCGCTCATGCTGCGATCTGTGGCGAAGTGCTGCCGCCGCCCCCGGTATCGTACAGTCCACAGCAGAAGTAATGTGGGGTTTCAGTCATGGGTATGTTCTGCTTCTGAAGCTTAGGAACGATTAGCCAGACTGCAGCGAGACTTTAAATGTAGCTTATATGTATTGTCACCCTTGCAGCTGCAACTTTAGCTATTGACATCTTCTTTTCGATCACTCCGCATTAAACAATCGCCAGTCAAAGCCAACCGTTGAGATTGGTAAAACCCTACATTACTTTACCGGTGGGCTGTACCTACACTGACCACTTAGCCATAAAAGCCGTTCGGCTTACAGGTCTGACAGCTAAAGAATTGATCTTGAGACCAAGCTCCGGCTAATTAAAACCCGACAATCAGCTACCATCGCCAATTAGCGCCGCACTTTAAATATCCACTTCACCGTGAGCAAAGAAGCAAGAAATGAAAAACCTGGCCGACCAGATATCGGCGAAGGTCAAACGCACATCGAAACAGTTGATCATATTCAACGATAGTACTGTCAAGGATATCGTCCTCGAGATTATATAGAACGCGACCGAGTGCGGCCAGTGAAGCTGGCAGCCCCGATGCGTCCGAACGGAACTCTGCGCGCCGGCACAGAGAGGTAACAGAGGCCGTCTCCGGTGGAGGTCGCACATACCCGCCGACAAAATGCGACAGAAAAAAATATGCAACTCTGGAAAACGACTACACGGTGTGGGACCACAGTAAAATCTGCACAGATAAGGACAACACGGTGTGGAAATTTGCACAGCTAGGGACCGCACTGTGTGGGACCACAGTAAATTCTTCACAGCTAAGGACCGAAAGGTGGGGGACAGCCGCGCAGCGGCGGCCCCCGGTATTTGTGACCGTGGGGGACAGCCGCGCAGCGGCGGCACCCGGTATTTGTGACCGTGCCGTGTCCTACCAGAGGGGACAGCAATCTTCAGCCCGGCCCCGGGGGACTCCAACTGGGCCCCAGCGACTCTAACCAAGTCCCTTCTGTCCCCTTATATCAGCCGGGTAGTAGGCTGACGTTTTTTTCTACCCGCCTAGCGGTTACTGATGTCGGCGGGAGTCTTATGGTTCAATGGTGATGACGACGGATATTCGCCATGGCCGTCCGTCGGCGTTCAGCGTTACGTAACGGCCCGACATTGAGCCGGCATCCGGGGGATCAGCGCTGACCGGACCACGCACAGCTCGTGCAACTGCAGACAGACGCCCGTCAGATTTAATTCCAGCACCACATCTAGTCATCAACATAGCACACCTAAAAACACTGCGATTAACGGTATCCATGGCCATCTTGTTCGTGTTATCTGAAAATCGGCATAGAAATGGAAGGCACACCGAGCGTACACCGAACAAAGGAAATCCGTCTCGGACTGCCCGCCGAGGCGGCCACCACCGCCTGTCAACAGAGACCGGCCGCGCCGCTACTCCGCTCTGCCAAACTCTGCAGGCGCTCGGTGCAGTTTTAGCCCGAAATTGGATTCTGGTTGCGTGCGACGATGAAGAAAAATTCCTTGGATGAGAAATAAAGAAGTAAATACCTGTTGTATTTTCCCAAAAGGGCGTAACGCCATTTTTACGCCAACTGATACAGGAGGACTTCAAGTCAGGAGCTCGACAGGATCAACAACTGTCAAGTCGTATGTAACCTGGCTATTCGAATGAATGAAATATTTTTTAATGAAATAGTGCCACTTTTCTTATTTTTGGGATGAAAATATTTTCCCATTACAGGGTGTAACGAAATTATCCGGACATCTTTCTTCGCGCCGTATTTAAGAAGCAAGACAATCTGTTATTCTCCCTTTTGAGTTATTATACAGGGTCATAAAAAAAAATTGGAACCCCTAACTTAAAATGTCTATAAGTCATAAAATTTTCACTTTATTGATAAATTGCAAACACCATTAAAAAGAGCGTTCAATTCTCTATAAAACCAAGTTGATTGTACTTACTTATTATTATAAATATTCCCCTAGACATATGCCTATAAAATTTGTGTCACGAAACTCAGTGAAACGGCTTTGAACATTATGCGCAAATCAGTGATTGACGGTTTGCTGTTCTGACCATGTCGCTTGTTGGAGGTTCATGAATAAAAATAGCTCATTCACGTGCTATTGTAAGGTAAGGAAAGGCTGACGGCCTGCTGGGACCAGTTGTCCCAGAGACTGCTGGCCCGCGCAGTGGGAGCTGTCCCCCAAGCAACTGCAGGTCTGCGTGACGGCCCCCGGAGCTCGCGTTGAGCACAAGCTGTGATGAACAGCGGAAGCTAGGACGCGTGTATCTGTTCTACTGTGTGCTTCTGTGTAAACTTTTATGAAATAAAATTGAATTTTGATGTGGTGTTCATGGGCGCCGCCACCGGGGGGGACGGGGGGGACGCGTCCCCCCCCCACTCTCAGAATGGAAGGGGGACGTCCCCCCAAACTCATTACGGAGCGAGCGAAGCGAGCGTAGTCTTTCGTAGGTTAACGGAAATTTCTGAGTATGCCGTGGTCACGCTTTTGCTAGGCTTATATCTCAGCAACCACTTGACAAATTTACATGCGGTAATTTTTGTAGGGTAGCACTGATTCATTCCTTCTAACGAGCATCGGACTATTCCCGATGCATGTGAGTGACCCCATAGCAACGTGCCACGTGAAAAACGAAGAGGTGTCAGTTTTGTAACAATTTCAATATCTCGGCAACTACTGGGCCGATTGCGCTGAAACTGTTGGCGTGTAGGTAGGTATACCCACTAGGCAATGCATATCCATGTGCCACAGTTGGGGTGCTGCTGCACGTGCGCACATGCAGGGGTCGATTCCAGATCTCG